TTTTTTTTTTTTTTTATGTTTAGTGTGAATATTTAATTTTTGTATATTTTAAAATTAATTTTTTTGATGAATGATAATAAAAGTGTATTCTTTACACCACTTTAATGTATTCAAAAAAATTTATTTTCATAAGTACTAATCTTAAAATTTAAATCATAAACTAAACCATAGAATTGCTTATCAATGCATCTAACCTTTCATTCAATAATTGTCAGTATTGAGCTTGAATTTGATGATTAAAACTAAGATGACCGAGGATAATAGATCAAACAAAATAAAAGGTTAGGAAAAAAAGCGTCTTACATTAGAAAAGGTCGGGATTGGTGGGGTGGAATTTACCATCGAAACTACTCAAAAATCGAGGGCAGCCATTAGATTTTTTCGAAAGTTTAAGCAACAGCCGCCCCTGGCCGTACTTAGCCCTGCCCTGGGTACACCATGAAAATTTTTACAAAAGAAAACTAAAAATTCTAATGTTTGTACATGTAAAATAGAGTTCGGTTGTTGCGATTCTCCGTTGGTGTGAATGCAACGATGAACATACAAACAAGAAACAAGTTTACGTAATTTGAATATTTCTTTAATGATTTTGGCACGCTTAGTTCATATATCTAGTCAAAAGAAATAGTGAAATTAAAATAAGTGATTTTGAGCTTCATTGACTTTTGCTTCTGTTGATATATTTTAATCTTCTTGATATGGAAGCTTGTTGTACTTTGCAGCCATATGAATATTTCTTAAACATTAGAATATGCATGGTTGCATCAGAATTTAGGCAATTTTTCACGCTGCTTCGTTTGATTAATATAAATGGCAACAATTTCTTTTGAGTTTAAGCACAGATGTTCCTAGTTTTATCCGACAAAATCAATGAGGGATCAGGTCTCCAATGGCATTCCGCACGCTTCCCTATCGTGGTCGGTGCAATTTTTCTTTTTTCTATAATGTTCGGGGACGGAGGAGCATTATTTAAAGAAATATATATAAATTATATAATAACAGATAATATTTTTTAATTTTTTAAATATATTACGTAAATTCTTTTATCAATTATTGTTAATTTAATTAGTACAATTGTGAAATTAAATTAAATTAAAATTTATTTTCTTTGAATTATTTTATTAAATAAAAAATATTATTCTCTCAACCCATTTATTCTTATCTGTTATTTGTCTAAATGAGGTTCCTCCCATTTCCTCCTTTTTCTACCATAACATTTATTCAAACGTATCTTACAAAACTAGTGCTTTTAAATTGCATGATAGATTGAATAACATTCTCATTTATCATTTATTTTCTTATTTAAAGTTAGGATAAATCAAGTTTATAATCTTAATCTTAATTTATTTATTTTTATAAGAAAAATGCAGTTCTATGCATTAAGTCTACATATATACATATATACCATAAGATAAAAAAAAAAAAACTATATACATATAAAATGCAGCCATATGTGTTAAGTAAGGTTTGAATTCCACCATTTTAATTGGATAAGTTAAAATAAATTTTTATTATTTAAAATAAATTCTTTTTTTAGAAATTTTTATAAATAAAATATATTTGGATGTCTCATTAAACTTATAGTGGTGTTTGTTTTGACCTATTAAAAATAACTATCAACTTTTGATTTTAATCAAATGAATTAAATATTTTAAATTATAAATATTAATAATTATTAATTATCAAATATCAATTATTAATTATTAATTATTTAAAAAAATTAATCTAAACATTCTATACAGTGTAACCAAGCATCACCGTACCTGCCAATAGTCTAGAGTTGAAGACAAATTACCCTACCCACATGGACTGTCTTTTCTTTTCTCCCTACATGACAAGCCACCATAACAAACGTTAACCCATTGACTCTTACTCTAGTTACTGAGGCAACAAAGTCATCCACCTAGATCTAACCTAGCAAGCAGGAGTGGGTAAACTCTTATTAGGGCAAAAACATTAGTCTCGTTGCCAAAGTATAGACTTATTTGCCTAATTTCATTGTTCACAAGGTCTCCTAAGTCCTACCCCCAGTTGGCTAATCATACCTAAATGGAGACACTTATTTACCTATTGTCATAGCTCCTTGGGTCCCTCAACCCCGACTAGCAAACTAAGGATTCAAATGAGACAAAACAAAGCTAAAGACAAACAAACTAACATAGCAAAACTGAGAATGTTAGTTAATAACAAAACTTGTTATATTATGTAACTTGGCATAATTTTTTGTCATGTCCTATGAATGTCTATGTTTAAGGACCCAAATTTATAGTTTTAACTTATACTTACTGGATTTTTAATTTACATTATTTCTCTCATTTTAGATTAGTAGTTTGGAGTAACGGTCACCAAGATTTGAGAGCTTTTGGCATAGGTCCTTGTTGCTCATTATACATAGGGGTTAGAATTTTATTGTGCTTGACATTAAGGCAAATCAATATATTACCAAAACGATGGTTTTATTTATATTATTTTGGAGAGTTTTTGAAAGCCACATGCTCATGTCTATTCTTGTAAATTGCTTTTGTATGTACATATTCTACAAAAGAAAA